TGCTTTGATTCCTGCTTCGCTCACTCTTGGCGTTCTCTCCATGAGCTTCATGAGGTCGTCTCCTGAAATGGTTTCCAACAGTCTTGAAGGAGTTCAGAGATGCTGAGCACTTGTTGGTCTTTTTGCCTTCACTCTGAGCTCCATCTCATCACAAACCATCTCCACTGGGTTTATGTCAGGTGACTGTGGAGGCCAGATCACCTGGTCAGCACTCCATCACTCTCCTTCTTGGTCAGATAGCTCTTACACAGCCTGGAGGTGTGTTTGGACTCATTGTGCTGTCAAAAATAAAATAAATGATGGTCCAACTAAATGCAAACCAGATGGGCTGTCAGCTGTGTCCCATCATGACTTCTGCACAACACAACTGATGGTCCCAACCTCATTAAGAAAGCAAGAAATCCCACCAATGAGCCCTGACAGGCTCACCTGTGAGGTGAAACCCTTTCAGGTGACGACATCATGAAGCTCACTGAGAGAAGGCCGAGGGTTTGCAGCACTGTCAACAAAGCAAAGGGCGTCTACTCTCAGGAATCTTAAATATAAGACTTATTTAGAGTTATTTATGATTTTTCTTTGATACGTAATTCCATATATCTGGCTTCATATACTTGATGTCTTCAGTTTGTGTCGATGTTGAAAGTAGTAAAAATAAAGAAAAAACATTAAATGAGTAGGTGTGTCCAAACTGTTGACTGGTAGATACATCAGCCAGCATTTCATTCCCATTAATCCCACTGGATTCTGTGGCCTTTCCATCTAATGACGTCTGTGTTTCCAGCAACATCACGTCCTATTTAGGTAACACGTTTTTATCATGTAATTCTGCATTAAGTATTCAGATTTAATCATTAGACTGTATTGTGTCTTCAAATGGTAAACAGACTGATTCTTCTGCTTCAGGCCTCAATCACCCCTTCACACCCATTCATACAAGCACTTCTTTGTATGTTTTCTAACATTCACACTCAGATGCATCGCAGGACAGCTTGGGGATATTTGGCATGTAGACCGGGGCAGCCAGGGATCGAACCACCTCAGCTACAGCCACAAGGTTGGTGGTTCAAGTCCTGTCTGAATGTGAGTAAATGACAGAAAACAAGGATAGACATAAAAAGTATAATTTTCAGGTATCCTACTTTAGTAGCTTTTATTTTTACGCCCTACATTTTAAATATCTGGATTTTCTACTCCTTACATTTTCAAAACACGAGGCGAGTTATTATTTCATGTCGCTGTTCAAACAGTAACACATTAAAGGTAACACTGTTAGTGTAACAATCATCAGGGGTGTTCCGTGGGCGTGGGTCAGTGGGGTTTTAGGGACAGCTGCACATGTTCATACATTTTGGTTGCTGTACTTCAGCATCTACATAAAACGAGTGAGCATATAGGCAGAGATGTTTTTTTAATTGGCATGCAATTTTAATGCAATGTTTCTATC